GACGAATCTGAACTCGGATTTCCAAAATTGAAGATAGTGGATCCAATATGAAATTTCCAAATCCAAAAGAATTTTGGAAATCTGAGTCCAGATTCGTGAGCAGCGACCCTCGGGACTCTTTGAACTACAAACTCTTTTTTCCAGAATTGCTCAAAACCAAAAGGGTTAAGGTATTTCAAATGAACCGACTTCATTGCTTTATTTGATTTTCTGTATACAGTAAAAAGTTAAATCTGCTGTATCTTGGTGAAAAAAAATCCTATTTGGACGTTCCAAAATGGAAATTGAAGGGCAAGACTCGTACTTTACGGTACTTTGTTTAGTTTTTATCGGTAAAATTCTATGCAACCAAGAGGAAACTCCAATAATGCCCTAAAACAGCCTTTTTTGTACTTCTAGGTTAGAATATCTCAAAATCCTTACGTGATGGCGCCATTCTGAGGCCAGATTTGAATTCAGCGCATCGAATTCCTTCGGGTAAACCTCTGACTTCTTTTGTGATAAAAACCTTGTAAACTTGTGTTATCGATTTAGAGCTTGTCAGCTGAACAGGAGAGTAATGGGTTGCCATGGTTTCGGTGTCAAACGAGGATGGGTGATTTCGATACGAGTCCTCGGGCGTGACGGATGTATCGATGTTATCCGCGACACGAAAGATTCTGTTTGGCTGCTTGTGTAAACGTTGTAATAAGCTTTACATAAGAGCTTTTGTTAATCTTTCTATGAACAAAAGCTCATTTATTGCACGCGGGCGGACGCGATAATATATTGAATTAAAATATAATTTCTTGCAACAATATTTTAGGAGCATTAAAAATTATATTATTGATAATATTAAGGAAAAATTTGTTATTATATAATAATAATAATAATAATAATAAAATAAATTATTATTAAATTTTATTATATATATGTGTATATATATATATATATATATATATATATATACACATATATATAATAAAATTTAATAATAATTTATTTTATTATTATTATTATTATTATTATATAATAACAAATTTTTCCTTAATATTATCAATAATATAATTTTTAATGCTCCTAAAATATTGTTGCAAGAAATTATATTTTAATTCAATATATTATCGCGTCCGCCCGCGTGCAATAAATGAGCTTTTGTTCATAGAAAGATTAACAAAAGCTCTTATGTAAAGCTTATTACAACGTTTACACAAGCAGCCAAACAGAATCTTTCGTGTCGCGGATAACATCGATACATCCGTCACGCCCGAGGACTCGTATCGAAATCACCCATCCTCGTTTGACACCGAAACCATGGCAACCCATTACTCTCCTGTTCAGCTGACAAGCTCTAAATCGATAACACAAGTTTACAAGGTTTTTATCACAAAAGAAGTCAGAGGTTTAGCCGAAGGAATTCGATGCGCTGAATTCAAATCTGGCCTCAGAATGGCGCCATCACGTAAGGATTTTGAGATATTCTAACCTAGAAGTACAAAAATGGCTGTTTTAGGGCATTATTGGAGTTTCCTCTTGGTTGCATAGAATTTTACCGATAAAAACTAAACAAAGTACCGTAAAGTACGAGTCTTGCCCTTCAATTTCCATTTTGGAACGTCCAAATAGGATTTTTTTTCACCAAGATACAGCAGATTTAACTTTTTACTGTATACAGAAAATCAAATAAAGCAATGAAGTCGGTTCATTTGAAATACCTTAACCCTTTTGGTTTTGAGCAATTCTGGAAAAAAGAGTTTGTAGTTCAAAGAGTCCCGAGGGTCGCTGCTCACGAATCTG